CTACCCCTAACAGCTAGAAATTGATTTACTGTATCTACCACCCCTAGAAAACTACCCCTGCCAAATCACCGCCACGCCTACTCATGCGCAGATCCAACTTGGTTCTCGATCACCGCCCCTCCTACTATGGTGGTTTTCATGGTAGGTATTACAAGAACAGTATTTTTACAATAATACATTAATTTTTTTTCTTACTATAAAGAATTGTTTACAAGAAATGTAATCTATATTTTGATATATGAATCCGAATAATGCCCCCAATACTGATAATGATGATAATACCATGCATTAAAAGTTAAGTAAATTTAACGACTAAAATGTTTCAAAATCCTATTAAAGTTATTTTGTTATTCGTAGTATGTAAAGTAGAGTCTCAGTCGGTATTACTGAATTATTCGTTTGGGATTTGTATACATATTCAAATCGCGATGCTCTTAGGTTATGTCTTATTAACCGAATGTTCATTGCCTACGTAATGAATTGCTTGTACGGGTTGGGTGATTCAAGCAATGACCTCAAAATAGCTCTGATTGCACTGAGATGATTCTGATCATTAATATTTACCTCTATATGCATGAAGCTCCAACGAGATTGGGTTTGTTGCCAAATTAGTTTATGTTTATGATACAACATAGATTATACTATCATTAAATCTGCCAACCTAATGGTGGGGTCACTTGCCATTTAATAAAAAAAAATTGATTTTACTTTAATATTTTTTTTGTTTAGTAAACAGTTAAGAATGGTTTTTATTTTTAGATTCCTACTATTAGTTTACATTTGATATATTGTTGATACTTTTAATTCACAGTGACAAAAAAATTACAAATAAAAATAGCACAACGCCCAATGAAAATATAAAGAAAAGAAACAATACAGCTGCTTCATTAAAAAATATTACATATGAAAATATCACCCCCACCGGAGTAAACCTGCTTCTATTTGTGTGATTAGATTTCGACAAATATATTTCCTGCCTGATGTATTCCCTATTTAAATAACATTGAGTTTAGTGAGCACTTAGGTTTTCTGTCAAAAGGAAGATTATAACATAGTAGCTATGTATTTTCTTAAATATTAATAGCTTGGTATGAAATACAAAAAAGTTGTCAAATTTGATCTAAATACATGGTAATTAAATAAGAATGGGGCAAAACAAATATTCGTACATCTGTTTCTGTGATTTTAAACAGCTGATTGTTACAACAATGAAAAGGGCTTTCCAAAAGTTTGTATTGAAGAGGTTATGTTTTTTTTCCGAGTTGCTTTATTGAGTGGTACCACCACGAAGTCTGTCTACAAATGGTTACTAAAAAACAAGAAATAGCTATTTATGTAACTAGTGTGCGAAGTGGCACTTTGCTGCACATAATTCTGAACTGTAATAACAATTTATTAACAACTGGTATTCAACCTAACACTTATCCAACATTTAATTAACTTAAAGTGAATGACAGTACTTGATAGCAATACATCTTAAGATTTAATGCATTAATTGTAATTAATTAATTCAATTTAGATTAGTGTGGAGCTTAGTAATAATATGGATGTCCATATATAGCCAGTGTTATTACTAAGATTAATTTGCATATAGGACACGATATAACTATGACAAATTCATGGATAGTATTATCATGCTCTCATGTATTATATTACACTACAAGCTCTGTTGTGAATACCTACTGAAGGTATATATAGGCAATGGTAGTACACACAATCTCTCAGGTATTACTATTTAGTATAGGTACAATTTGAGTTGTTTAGTGCTTCTCAGTTATAAGAATTCGTAGTAAAAGTGAAAAGTCGATACACGTTGTACGTTTGGTTATCATGATAGGTTGAGCTTGGTCAATACAAATCTATATAAATAAAATTAGAGTTTTGTCTGTACATTGCTTAGAATAATGAACTTTTTGGTTATTTTTACATTTCATAGGTCAGAGAAACCGAATCAAACCTTATCTCAATTTCTGTCTGTCTGTCTGTCTGTCTGTCTGTCTGTCTATCTGTCATTCTCTTGGTAACGCTAAAATACGCACTTTATTACAACTACTCCTCAATAACTATAGCACTGTCCCGCCTGAAACTTATTTTCCAAATACTATACATATATGAGATGGTTTTAGACGTATTTCATCGAATATGAGACAGTTAGATATTTAACAGTAAACCCTTGAAAATCAAGTTTTTGTCGATTTTTGACGTGGAATTTCTGGAAGCCCATGTTAACCTTATGAGAAATGAAATTATTGAATCTTAACAGCTGTTTCAATTAAACAAGTTGGTTCTGTTCTGTGATGTTCAATAGCATTAAAGTTACAAGGATTACCAACAGGGTGCAGCACTAGCACTATTATTTCTTTTACATTTATGACAACAGCTAATTTGCAACCTGGAGGCGAGTGAGCGTAGCGAACGAGCTAACCTGAAGGCAAGTGAGCGTAGCGAACGAGCTAACCTGAAGGAAAGTGAGCGCAGCGAACGAGCTCCAACCCAAAGGTGAGTGAGCGTAGCGAACGAACTTCAACCAGGACGTGATTGAGCCATGCAAACGAGATCAGATAGTAAAAATAAAAGTAAGCCTACCGTTATAGGATCGACCGGCAGACACAGAGGTAATTTAACCTTTTATTGATTGTCATACCGATCCGGAACAACAAAAAACAACATAAAATGAAGCTATGTATAATAGTTTGGCCAGCATATCTTAAAATATGCAAACCAACTGCTGTTCGTTATATAAGAAGGTTTCAACTGAATATTATAAGATCCCCGTGCGTAGAACGGGTACACAGCTAGTCTTACATACAATGAAGATATTGTTTGATAGCCAGTGGGGATTATACAGATGGATATACTCTCAAACGAAAGAATATACACAGTGTCAATCGTTCCATGAAACCGGACAAACTTATTTTACAGTACTTATCAGCCGAAAATAAGTTACTAGTGTACCTGCATTAGCCTACAGGCGTTACTTAAAAAAAAGAAAAAAAACAGTTATAATTTCCGATGATTTCATAAAGAGTCGACTCAAAGATTATGGAAGTACTCACAATGTACATAACACTTCGATAATGGCCTAATCAATGTCTTGTTAATATCTTATCATTTTTTCAAAAGCTGATCTGGTTTTTTAGTGTATTACAAAATGTTGACCACTCATAGCCACCATAGGTTGTCTATAATAACGATTATAAATTTAAAAAAATATATATTTATATTTCTTCTACTTGATGGTGTTCTATGACTTTCCTATGCTTCCACAGTTTGAAAATCGGCTCTTTCAATGATTGCTCAATAAATGCAGCACAGTGATAATTCAGCTTTCTTTTTAGTATAATAAACTAATTGTAATGTAAACAAATATGTTCTTCATAAGGATAACATGGGAACTTTAAAAGCCACTGGGACAGAGCCGAAGGGACCTTAAAAAAATGTAAGTCCAGTTTGCAAATTTACACACCTAGACGAACATTTTGGTATATAAATATGTGGGGTTAAATCTTATAAAACAAGAAAGCCTTATTGTTTACATAGCCCAGTTGTATTAATAATATAGATTTTTATTTACGTGACTTGTATTGAATTCTCATAATTAAAAATTAAATTCATTAAATACTTAAATTATAAACTAAAAAAAAAAAACAAAAAATAATGAATTAAATTAGTCTTGAAAGAAACTACTTGGGCAGTACCCAAACGTTCCAAATAATTAAGCTTAATGGGTCAAATTAAGTCAACACAAATAGTTTTATGTACATTTGCCAACTATGGATCCAACCACTTCAATAAGTTATCGTTTTCAATAGGGAAATTTCATGATTATTTTCTTTTTAAGCATTTTATTACGAGTAAACATGATAATGCGAGTGTCATTATCATTGCCTTCACACTGGGACACAGTCCTGCAATTCTAAACCTGAATGAGATTGGAAAGTGTGTATTTATTGGAGAAATGTGTATTTTGAGCTTTACTAATAGGACCCGCTAATTCTTTCCACAAGGAAATTCATTAAAATACTAATGAACAAAGCCAATTATCATTGGCTTTGCTCAATGGGACAACTGTTGTGATTATAACCTTTGACTATTAATACAACAACTTCTGTATCCAAAAGTCAATGTTATAACCCAAAGTATAAATAATTATATGAATTTTCCGTAGTGTCACTCGGTATCAAATAATTATATACAGTTGTATTACCTTGTTGCTATACCTTGTTGTTACTGTATATAGTTTGCTATTACCTTTATGAACCTTTCTATTATATAAATAGTTTCTGTCAATTTGTTTGATATCGTTTCTGATAATTCTCTTTACGTAAACCAAACACTTTACCAGCAATGACGAGCCCGATGACGAGAAGGCTGAGGACGACGCTCCACCAGTTCCTGCCCTCACTGGCTCCAGGGTAGACGAGGTCCTGCAACAGAGGACGATTAGGAAATGTGGAGGACAACTGAAACATTATTTGAAGTGGTTGGCGTACAGTGCTGACAATAAGTTGGAATTAACTTGGTGATTGCCGATAAACCTGAGTTTAACATTTGACATTATTTCTTGTTTACGCCTGTTGCATTTACAAAGCAGTCATCAGAGGAACATAAGCGGCTTTAGAACGAACGTTCAAACCCATATGTTTTGTACGCATGTCGTACTGTTGAAAATTCAATTTTAAATTGTTGTCACAAAAAATTATATACGTGAGTTTACCAGCACATTTTGAAAAATATCTTACATTTACTAAAAAATTTATATTTGCATACATGCCGTAATTCTTGTTTTTACCATTTATTATTTTGCCCATACCAAAGGACTTCTAAGTGGTGCATCAGTTATCAAACAACAATATAAATTTCTTTAATAGTACTTTTACATAATACCAATATACCTCGATCAAAAAGCTATTGGAAATAATGTATTTTAGTAGTTTCAATGTAATTTAAATAAATAAAAAAATGGCACATACCAACGAATCAACAAACTTTAAAGCGCTCAGCACTTTCTAAACATTACTACATTTTGCAAATATAATAACAAAAATTAAGTCTAACAATTTACAGGCAGGTACAACATGCAGCCTTTGAAAGAAACAAGTTGTAGCCTACAAGGTAGAGCCATGCTAAGTCTAAGGTTGAGTTGTGAGGTTGGGGAAAGAGTCGGTATCATGCAAGGTTCCCCGGACTTAACGTAGGATCAGAAAATGTCACCCGGCTAATCCTTTGTACCCGACCCGCCTCTTTCCGCATTTATAGATTCTCTCCTTTCATATTTGGAGATTTCCCTGGAATACTTTATACGCGGCTTTGAACGATTTCACGGCCGTAACCACCGCCTCAAAAAACTGTTTTTATACAAGGACGATTTATGACTTTTGCGTGATTGGGGATAATTTTAATTAGTATGTAGGAAAGTTATTATTGATTTGGTAGCTTAACTGAGGTGAAAGTTGGAGTATAGTCTCTATGTAAAAATAGTTAATAAATAGGTTCTGCTTATTCTAATTACACAATTAATTCAATTTTGTAGTTTATTATATTAAGATAAGTGGTAGGGACATGGTATGAAGAAATCCAAATCATTAGAATTTGTTAGCGAATTCCCCATCTAGGGAATAAGCTATTACCGTAGTACTCATGGTAAGACCTGGACCCGGGACCGATTTACTTTTTCGTTGTGAGGTCCCTAGAGGCAAAAACCACCATCCGTTCAAATTCATATATATATTAGCACGATAAATCGAGCAAAAATCATCCGATTTTCATGAAATTTGGTATAAACGTGTAAACCTACATTTATTCGAACAAGTTTGCGAATCAGCATGATCGGACTGTGGGAACGGGGGTTTATGGGTAAAAATAGGGGTTTCCAATAAATTGTTCACCCTAAAAACACAAAATATGCTGTTACAATAATTATATTGAAAACGTTCCTGATTTTGAATGTAAACAACCTAATTTTTACATTTGATAAAAGTGTAATGCTGGGAGTTTAAGCACTGAAAGTTATTAGCTTAGCAAGATGCAGTTTATTCAAGTTTACTTGAATAAACCATGCATGCCGATTCTTTTACGAAGAATTTTTCCTTAGAGAAAAAATATTAGAAACTCTTTTGAAGCTATTATCTCAAGTTGAGGAAAAGAATAACCATTGGTGTGCGTGCAAAGACGGCGTTATGTAGATAAACGTGTTGAGAGAATCTGCGATAAGAATCAATTGAACACGAACACAGAAACCACAACACGCCATTTAGCGCGACAACATGTCCTACAATAACACCTAAATAATACACGAACAACGAACACTTACATACGATTTTGTGTTTTGTTAAAAAAGAATAGTATATCAGTCATTCAAGAAGTTTTATGAGAACTAAATTAGTATTTTCAAAATATAATCTTAATTTAAAATGTCACATAAGTATTCAATTTCAAAACTTTAGGGATATTTGCTAAAAAAGCAATCTCTTCGTATTACAACCTGTTAATAGTCAATGGTTCCACACACGAGTCTATGGCCCACGTGGACGGCGAATGTAGGGTTAAAAGGACAGTTTAATGGGAATAATGGCTATTTTAGCATCCTGCTTTGATAAAGTTATTGTATGAAATAATGAGTTCATTTAAATTCATAGAAAGTGTTTAAACTAAAGCTATTTCACGTTTTCTATGTTCAAGAGAAATCAAACAATTAATTGTTTTTCAATATTGCAAAAAATGTTCTTGTGATACTTAGATAATCTTGGTATAGATGTTGAAATTGGCGTTACTACAGATTTAATTATACTTAACATTACTCACTGATACTACTACTGATTTCCTCCAAGTGTCTAGCATCAAGAAAATTACGAGCTGTATAACACATTGGAGTTTAGGGGATTATAAAGTGTGGGTCCAAATTACAAACGGAAGGATACATGAAAAATTGTGCATTCTTTAAAGTTTAAAAGGAAATTATCTATAAATCCACGATTAATAATTAAGAAATGTTTTACACTAACTACCGTTCTATAGTCAAGTTGGCCATGCTAACTACCTTGGCGAATTACAACAAAGAGCAATCTACTTAAGCTAATTATCTTAATACTACACTTTTACTACCTCGTCGTGCAAGGTTCAGATACCTTACCCACTTATAACACCATGGTGAACCAACTTACGTAATCCTTGCGAGCTATTTACCCTTTTCCCTATGGAAACTATACTAAGAACAAATCTAGTGCTGAAAAATATTACATTCACATTCATTCATTAAGTCCGAACTGGGGTAAGAGTGACAGAATAGACTAAAACATTCATTTTTTTTGTTTGGCAAACACTAATATGCATTTCCGTGACTAGATGTGATGATAAACTAATATAAATATAATATAATATAATATTAAAAAGGGTATTGTGTAAACAATATTCAAAATAATTTACACTAATTTAAAGTTTCAGTGTAAATAGTAATCTAGTTATTAGGGGAAATACCTAAGGTTGAATTTTTAGTTATTTAGAAATCGTTTTAAAGCTTTAAAATCAAATTTTCACTCAGATAATGATATATGATTTAAATTTCAAATACAACAGTTCAGTCAGTTAATACTCAAAGAATTATTTTGATCTGCCAAAGGATCTTTGTGAGTTTACTTTCGTTGAACCGACATGAAAGCCGGCCAACATTTTGAATACATTGCCTCTAGGCGACACTGTATATTTGGTATGTTTAGTTTTAATACGTTGTCCCTTAGATGAATGGAGGATGGATGCTGCAACATATCCAAAACGCCGGTAGGGTTTTTCATCAATTAATCGACGCGGTATTCTCGCGAAGAGTATTGGACAGTCTGACTCAGACCGCGAAAAAATACCTTATAATCATTGCAATCTTTGGCACTTATGTACATTTATAGAAAAATACTTTTACGCCACACTACATCATTTTGACGAACTTCCCACGCAAGGTTTTTTTAGTCCAGAAAACAGCTGTTTGCCGCCAGCTTAACCAAATGGGGTTTCATTACGTACTACTGTACTGTAATGAGTTTTACCGGATACCAATCAGCTGATTATACTGTATTTGGGAGACAATGAGTGGTTATAAACAAAAACATAACCTCTCTTAGAGGTTATGACTAGTGATTTTTTGTCCTTTAGTTTGTGGTAATATAAGGATTTGTACAGATTTAGTAGTATGGCGTAAACTATCGTACATCACTCGAATCCAAAATGTGTTTACCGGACTTGTATGGTAATCCCGTACTCGACTTCGTCTCGCACGGGAACGACAACACTCGTCCGGTAAACACTCTTTTTCAGGACTATACTATTATTTGAAGTGTCTTTAAATCGTTGATAATTTTAATTAGTATAGTAAATAAAATGAATTGACTTTTAGAATTTTCTGAAAATGTTAATATTCAAGTCTGTGTGTGATGGAGAAAATAGAGAATCATGACCCAAAATGCAACGAGCAAGATTATAAATGTATACTTGTTGGGGTTAAGGGCATGATGCTAGTGAGAGGGTCATGCTAAGGGTTGAAACCTACCTCATCGGTCTCCTGACCAGGCTACAACATACAACCAACATGTTTAGTACCTTCCACCACTTGAACAACAAAACGTATGTTTACTCTAGCAAATATAGGAGTTACTTGTAGCATTTATGTGACTCAATATAGATCTTCAAAACTATATTGAGTCATACGCATATGATAAACAGTCGTCGGACATCAAATCTCGCTGATGTTAATCAATGTAGAGTAGCATACTTAATTTGAGCTATTTTCGAAGCCATTCCTTTATCTGTTGAGTATCTTATAAGATTGTGAGGAATGTTATATTCCATCATAGGGACAAAAATACATTTTTGGGTTGCGTGCTCAAAGATAATTTGTAATGGAGCCACACAAATTGCACTAATAATTGAGGAATAATTGGAACAAGTACCGGTAAGGAACCCTCGATATTTACGCACTCTCTAGTGAAATACGTATTTTCTACGTACAACTATTTTTATGCATACATATCTGTGAACAGGCAACAGTAGCCCAATCACCAGGGACAACCGTCTTCCTACAGTACAGTAACAGAACCACAGAGCGCGATTTATACTGTATTAGCGTCAATTTTATTTTACAATGACTTTAATTCGTTGACCAGACTAATTGTTCCATAGAGTGGGTAACCTGCAAAAATAGTCCATATATCCTATACTATTCTATAGGTGAATGAAGTAAGGAACACGACTTTGGTCTCAGATTTAAAGTAGCTTGTGCTTGGTTGCAATGCTTGAGCTTGCTGGAGACCCTAATTTATGGAAAACCCTCGAAAATTTAAATTGAAAACACTGAAAGGAACACTATTAACCTTGGTAGATGACACCTTGGTAGATGAATTGGGAACAAGGGAGAATAAAATACGTGGGAAAATAAGTTTACAGTTTTTCTCTTTCTATAAACTAAAAACAATTTGGGAAAGCCGGAAAAGAACTGTTTGTACAAGTTATAAACGATAACTTTAATCAGGATACAAAAACTAGGTACAATTAAATGACGTTTGGAATTAAATTGTCAACAAATAACATAATTAATGTTGCTCGTTTGGAATTTCCGTGTATATTGAATAAGAATTTGAAAATGGGTTATCTTTAGTCAGAGTAAAGTATTGATTGAATTGAAATACTAAGTACATTTTTAAAATCACCTGTACTGTTTAAAAAAAAATTGCATACTTTTAGAAAGTTTAGGAAAAAGTCAACAGCATCTCGATCTAATCTTAGACCGTCTGATGAGATGTCTGAGAGATATTCATACTTTAAAACATTTCTATTGTAGTGGTATTATAAAATAATTCTCAGCGCAAATTAATATTAAAATGTATTTTCTAAAAAAGTTATTGAATTATAGCAATTATTATAAACTTAACAATAAACTTATTTAAAGATTGAATGGTTATACAGGGCCATCTAGAGATAAAGATTTTCGGGGTTCGACTTAAGAAACTTTTAAAACAAATGACTAAAACAAAGTAGGAAAGAATAGTAGTCTGTGAAATAAGCTTGTAAGGTTAAGCTGCATTGAGGGGTCAAGTCAGTTCTCTAAAGGTCATCCCCATTCCTACAATGAGGTCATCAGCAGTTTTATAAATCCCTCGGGGAAGCTACAAATATCCTGACATTTCATATTGTCTTTGGATACTTCTCATCATATTGTAATATTTGGAACCTATTTTGTTAGTCTAATTATTCGGGTGTACTGGTGTTGACGGAATATTTTTATATTGGGGATGAAAATTAAGGTAAATTGTAGTTATGCCCTCATCTCTTTAGTTGTATTACTAGGGGAAAAGCGAGAGTTAGATGGATAGTTTCATTTGAGCAAAATTATTTTAAATTTGGTGAAATAATAAGAAATAAAAAGTAATAGATTATAAATGAATCCCGCAAAATACAGGGAATAAAAACATCTTAAAACTGTATTTAGAGGATTATAAGGATAATGTATTAAATGAGAAGTAAGTTTAAAATATGATAAAAATTTCGGAAGGGGTAAAAATATTTAATAAACTAACTGGAATGGCAAAACAAACTCAATAAGTATTTTTTGTTGTATTAAATCATTGGGCTTTAAACATTATTGCAAAAAATACAAAACACAATATATAGGAAACTATCTAAAAGATTATAATACCTGTAGTACTGTGATTTCGAGCAACATGTACACTAGTTGCTGATAAAAAGTTGTTATAAACAAATTCACTAACACTAATAATACATACACGAATGCATCAATAATTTTTGGCAAGTGACGCTACTGATAGTGGGCGTGTGAGTTTAGGGGGTGGGGGATGGCAGATTAGGGGTCACTATGATTTGTTTACATTTTTTATCCATGTGTTTTTGTTCGTGTATTCTGACGACTCTTAACAACCCCAAAACCAGCTGAACCTTGGATTAAAACCGAATCACTTAACAGTACTACCAGCATTTTTTACACAAAAAGGCGATATAAGGACTAAAAATTGTTAAAAAGAACACAAATACAAAGGCGGAGAACAACTCACCATAACCGAAATATAATCCAAACGAACCGAGTTGGGCGAAAAAATAAGTTCTAACAAAGTTCAGCCCTTAAATTACAAATGCTGGCAATGTTCCTTTATTATGTTCAAACAAGCGAATGCGGTAATTAGTGTTATAACCGAGATATTCTGTGGAGAATACGTTGTTAGCAACCCCATTTGTTTCCGGGTTGCTATGCTCGGTGGGAGGGGGGGGGCAAATAATTGCATTAGATCATCTCTGTTATGTATCCCGCGTAGGGACTGGTTCAATTTGCCGGTCTGATGAATTTACTATCTTGCACTAGAATGGATGGAGATAATAAATTCTTAATTTAGTTTCAATTGATAAAAGGAATTTTACCACAATGATGATAGGCATGTCCTAATGATGATTTTGAGGAATCTTTTCTAAATTTCCATTACATTAGGCATTGTATTACTTACTACTACTTTCGTGCTAAATTGAGACCTCAACTTGGATTTATTATAAAAATATAAGTATTTTTCTATCGTTAGACTACTATTAGCAAGAATATCCCTCTACATTATTAATTTAAGAAGTTATTTTATTCAAACTATGGGGGGGTGATTCAAGGTTCCTAGTTTTATCTTAAGAAACAACACAAACCGTTTTCACAACCAATCACTGTGTACTATAACGCGAGTATGTATTTTGACTATTTGTTTGGTGTTCTACAGAAAGAAATAAACTAAATTTGCAAAACGTGTTGAGGATCCTACAGAATATCCTGATAGAATATACAACCAGTGTGTACAATTAAGCGAGTATGTGTTTTGACTGTTGTATGTTCGGTGCTTCACAGAAAGCTGTAATTCTCAGTCGGATTGTGAGTATTCTTGTATTGTCTGCCTCCATTGTCTCTCTTCTGAGCATGTTTCATTCTTCTCCCTGCCTTTGCAGCAAAGCTTTCTCGTATCACTGTATACGCCGTGATTACTGGATGTATGAACACATTTTTGTAGTGTAAAAAGATAATCGTGTGAAGAAACAATACTGTAAAACACAATAAAAAAAATTTTAAAATATAAAAAAATGTTTAAACCAAAGTATTTGAAAGTTTCACTTTAGTGTTGAGTGATATATACAGGGTTAGTAAAAAGTCTGGAGACCCCCTGTTAATTTTTTAACGGCCCATACTAGAAAAACTAAACTCAGCACACCTTTATGGCATGCTATGAAGTACCTTTTGGGCATAACCGCCACTTGGTGTACATCAAAAATTTCAAACGGTAAGACCCATCGAGTGACCCCTCATTTTGAAGGTAAAAGAAAGCTAACAACGCAAACTAGAGGTCTCTATCTCAATCCAGTAAAAGATGGCAGCTAATTGAAATTCTCAGAAGTTAAATTTAACTTACAGCTTTCCAAGTCTGGAGACCCCCTGTAAATTTTTTAACGGCTCACACTAGGAAAACTAAACTCTACACACCTTTATGGCAAATTATGAAGTACTTTTTGAGCCTAATTGCTACTTGGTTTCCAAACCCAAAATGGGGGATTTTGGGGGAAACTCGAAAACTTTAAATGCTAAGCCCCGAGTGATGCCTCATTTTGAAGGTCGTGATAAAAAAAACTAACAACACAAACTAGAGGTCTCTATCTTAAAACAGTAAAATATGGCAGCCAATTAGATATAAAATTGCAAGTAAATCCTGATTTCTAAAGATTTCAATCAGCTCCCATTTTAAGCTACCGATTGAGGTTTAGAAGCTTATGTTATCTTGAGAGGAGCCCAGAGGCATTTATATGAATCTTTAAAAATAAAATCATTATTTTGGCATTATGCGCAAATAATATAAATAATAGTTGGGGTCAAGCTTTAAATTCGTAAAAAAGACTTAAACAAATGCACATTTTTACATGAAAGTTCAAGATATATATTTGTAATTGCACTTGATCAGCACAATATTCAGCATTTCTTGAGTAAATTTAAGACCATTATTTACATTACAATAGCTCAATCTATCCACATTGATCTAAGTCCAAAACAGCCTACGACAACGCACATTGAAAGCTTACAAACTAGGTTTACAACTGAATAAGCACAGTTACAGTATAATTATGTTACGAAATTGCGTTTCAAATAAAGAAAATCCCTTCATTTTGTGTACATACTCTTATTCCTTCGCACAATAACTTGTACTATTTTAGGTGTTAATAGACGTATTTTTGACACATTCTGTAAAATTCACTTTTGCAAGTTCTACACAATTCACTTAATCTAAATATTTGCAACCTAATAAAACACTATTTTCATAAACAATTCTCTCAATCAATGTTTGAATAAGAGGAAGTTTTATGCATTTTGAAGGTCAAAGCCACTTTAACATTTCTAAGTGGGATTGATCACCAAATCAGACCGCTATTTAATTATTACCATGTAAAAAAATATTTACCCTTTTTCACAGTTATACAATCATAACTATCATTGTTAAACATAACCCAACTTTCATTCAATAGAGTTTGTGGTTTAACGGATTCTGGCCAGTTTTAATAAACTAAAAAACCACCACACAATACCACACTTCAACTACACTTTAATTTTATTAACTTAAAAATTGTTTTACGAAACAAAACAAAACATATATTAAAGTTTGAAACGCATTTCCGTAAACATATATAAATACTCAACACTATTACATACTCTTACAAATCACTATAACAACACAAAATGACGTAATAATAATATTTTCTTATTTTTTGCAATGATTTGTCAAACCAGGACAACAAGACGATGGCGGTAGTCATTAGACCTTCCACTTCTACACACTTGAACAGTTCCATATTCAACGGGCATTTACATATTCCCCCACTCGGTGGCCTCAGACGCCTCAGACAACCATCTTAATTAAATTGAATCAATTTAATTCACTGCTAGACCTTATTGCATTTTAATTAAATCAGAAAATTGCTTTAATTAGTTTGTTTGACAGCCATATTAATTTTATGCGTCATAGTAATACAACCAAATATTATTTTAAATATTTGTAATTATTAAATCACTATAGTTCATATTCGTTGTATTAAATGAACTAGTTAATTTTGCAAAGATTTGATTAATTTATACTCATGTATTTGTACAGGGCCGTATTACCTGTGATATTTTAGTTCTACTATTAAATATTACTAAGCTTTTATAACAATTAATGAAATTGCTAAATTTGTTAATTTGTACTGTCCGAATCTATAGTTTTACTTATTTATAATCTCATGAATCAACATTGCAGATAGCAGATAATTGTTTTGATCCATTCTATTTACCTGTATATTAAATTAATTTAATATTCTTGATGTTATATAATTTATTATTCGTTTTAGTAGGCATTATTCAATACTCGAAACGGTTAATCTATTGTTGCTAAATGTTTGATTTTTTAAGACATGAAAAAATTAAACCCCCAAAGATCTTAGAAGTTACTAAGCAGTTGTTGGTATTGAACAAGTTATGTTATTTCAATAGTTAACAAGTTTTGTTTTTTTAAATAGTTAAAATCTCTTAAGTTTGGTAATATAAGTATTTATTTTTTATTTGGTCCTAGTGTATTGTATTATTGGAATGCTGTTTGGCTAAATATTATTAGTTATTCTAAGTTTACTTTTGGTGATATTTAATTGTTTTTGTAATACAAACCAACATCTCCATTGTCACTTCCTTTTGCCCTCTTAAGTTTAAACATCTTAGACTACCCCATGACCAATTCTACGACCATCGACTGACCTGTGCCTTTTTGGAGCGAGGATCTGCGACCTGGACTATGTCTTCCGGCGGCAGTCGCCAAGAGTTGCGTTCTATGGCCGCGTGCATGGCGACCCTGCAACACCATAAAACACCATCAACCACCATAAAACAGCACCATCCATCACACAATCAACTTCCATAAAACAGGATCTATTAACAGGATGCATTACCAACCTCCATACCTCGCTACACCACAAGACGACATCAACTACCAATCAAATACCCCCACAGCAGCAAACCTGTAGACCAAGTGACTTTCCATTTGCCTGATCAGATTTTCACTACCATGCGACCTACGACAATAAATAATTTCCAATATGGGAAATTTGCTAAATCACCATCAACCACCTTAAAAGCACACCATGAACCATAAAACACCATCATCCATGTTTTATATTAGTTTTTTAATATGTTATTTTTAAGAAATTAACAATAACTATTGATTTTACATTATTTATTTTGTATACAAGTCGGGCTCCAACCTTCTATATCACTACATTTAATGGTTTTATTATCTTAGTAAATTAGAAAGTAACTGTTAAGATTTAAACCTGAGCATTCCCACAATGAATGGAAAAGATAATCTTAATGGGACACAAAATAATAACTCCACAGCCTAAATAGATTTTCAATTAAAACCCATATTACTTTCGGTGCATCAACTTTTTATCAAAACTTTACTTGTATATACCTACTCCAATCAAGATTTGAGAAGTGACGCCAATCACGCATAACTATTCCACCAGAGTAAATGTAGGTATGCAGGTACCCTGAGTTTTCAAGTCTGCAAACCTTACTAATGCTTTTTATATTACGATTTTTTTGTATAGGAATATACCATCAGAGATTAGAGATCAACAGGTTTCTCCTCCAGTTTTTAAAAGTTCGGTAAGCATTTGGCTGTCGGAGATTGGGCTCGATCAGTCTGAGACACTTATCAGTTCAGTATACAATACCTAACAATAATTAATACACAAGTACACCGAACAATATTTAGCGTACAGACATCAGTAACTGCAACTCCATTCACTCAACTACCTTAGCATTATCTGTTCCTGTAGCTGTCTCATAGCTTAGTTGTAAATAATATTTTGATTAATTTAGTTTTAATTTTTATATTATTTCTAATTTGTAATAGAGCTCGTCCTGCGCACAGGTCTTTTTCGGCCTATGCGGGACTATTGTTCGTATTTTGTATGCATATATTGTTAACAATTTTTTGAAATAAAACAGATTTTGATTTGATTTGATTTGAACTCATCGCTGAATAGCTAATCAAAACCAAAGTGAGAAAAACAAACTGAAATTTTTTTATTGAGAAATAATCTCTCCCACACTTATAGAACTTATGAAACTTGCAGAACTTTTGGAAAGAAATAAACTACAACTTACTAAATAAGACACATAAACTTGGACTTGGATGATGGGAAAAGTTGGAAAGTTCTCCATCATAAACCACTGACCAGCCAGAGACGACGGTCCGCAGTTCTCGGTTTGGTTTGAAATCATTTATGGATGTCTGGTTTCAGAATCAAACGGAAATTAAAAATGTCAACGTTGCAAATGAAGTAAGTGAGTTATTTCTGATTATTGAAATAAATTAAAATCTGTCACGGTCAGGGGTTTGTTCGCTAATGTAAAATAAGTGTGCCAAAGAAAAGTTTTAAATAACCTTCGAGCTATGTCTGTAGTAAACGTTTAGGTTCTTACTCTGTATAAAGGTGAATTTATGAGTCCTCTCTTCACTCAACTTATTTCGAAATTGCTTAAAAACCCGATTATATTTATTGTGGCATGCGTGTATTGTATTTACTAAAAAACGCCCGAAAAAACATTTATCACTTCCTAGAATATTTTAACGTATTCAAACCAAATAAGTAGTTATTGTAAACCTAAAAGAGTTGCCTCATATTAACATATCTCTCTTGATAGATGCTCTCGGTTTTCCTGAATAATAATAAAGGCAAACGTATTATTGGCGAATGTATATATTCCTTGCATTATTGTGGATCATATTTAAAAAGAATATAGCATACAAACCCCACAATTTAGAAAGAATTAAACAAACGCCATCCCAAGTGTAAGTTAAGGGTCTGAATTGTAAAACAAACAGTTACTTCAAGGAAGAAAAGGCTGTAGATTACCCTCAGGCAATAAGCAAAGTCTATTATCTTACGTTAATTACAATCATCCGATGTTGTAATCGACTGAATCGGAACTTGACGAGCTCTGAGCTATGATTTCCAAGTCTTTCCTCTGTTTCCTTTAAGCATTTCCTGCGGTATTTTAATTACAGAAATAATTGGATGATTATTTAATATTTTAAATCGGTTGGAAGTAGAAACCGAATTTGTATTGATCCCCAGTGCCATAAGAAGTGGTGTTAAATATTCAACAAAGAACTTTAATGTGTATCGTATAAAATAATTCTGCCTGTCAACAATTAAATCTCACCTTAGTTCAAAAATCAAACAATTTTAACTTTTATTAAAAAAATAAGGTTAAATTAAATCTCCAATAATCCCTAAGTAAACAATCAGTAGAATACATCTTGTATAGTCACGTTTTAGGTGTAGAATATTTAAAAATAGAATGGAATACCGAAACATTCGTTCAATTACTATCGATGACACTATATATAATATTACGGATATGTAGTTTCTTTTGTGTTTTTCTATCTTTCGCAAACGCTATCATCAGGCATGCTTACTCTATGGATTTATCAGTGGTTTGTTAGTTAGGCCTAAACATGTTTCACTTATATTTTTAAGGACTTTAAAGATCCAAAATTTCATTATTTCTTTTGATTGGCACAGACATTCAGAATAGGTAAAAAGTGTCAAAAAGTTAAATTTGAAGTCCAACTCACAACAAAATCTTTTATCCTGTCAACCTGACCAATTATTTAACAGGGCCTTAATCCACAACAGAGGGGCGCTACTCGGACACCAGCCTTTCATTATAGTCACATTTTAGACATAATAGAAAATTCTAAAACTTATTTGTTTACCAACTGCTATCCCCATTCCCCCAAATATATCATTTTAGATCTTTATTTGTTTGCTTTCTTTCCTCGCTACAAATCTATAACAGCATTAAGCTGTGAATCATCTGCAAGAAAGCTTTAGCGGACTAGAGAAAAAGTGGTTGCATGGCTAAAAGCCAAGCAGACGGACTAAGTTGCCTATTGTTGTTACAACCCTTTACAACAGACTCGGTAGAACTGGCTTTGGTGCTTAATGGACTCAGCACACAATGAGTTCTGTCTATGAATGCAGGCGACTTAAACTATCAAGAAAATACAAAATATAATAGTTAGCCAAACAACTAAGTGATCAGGTAATATTTGTACACAAAATTCCGAGTATTATATGCTTTCTGAAAGTCAACAAATATCAGTTTAAAATATAGATAAATTAAAATATAGAATTCGATTAGGAAAGTATTTACGATTAGTATACAGGGTGTCCCGGAACTCTCTACCAATATTTTAGGGCATTGCTCCTGGGTAAGGACCATAACTAAATATCATATTTAAACTGTCCGGAAGTCCTTAGTTACTCACACAGCCGCCATTTTGTTTTTTTCAGTTATTAATTATTTTCTAAAGAATAGTTAAACGTACGAAATAGAAACTTTGCACAAACGTTTATGACAACTATACAAAGCTACAAAAAAATTATGATGATTTTTCAAATTCATAAAACAAAATGGCGGCCATTTAAAATTTTTGTAAAATCAATGGTTTTTGAGTTATTTAAGAAAGAAAATTTTAAATGGCCGCCATTTTGTTTTATGAATTTGAAAAATCATCATAATTTTTTTGTAGCTTTGTATAGTTGTCATAAACGTTTGTGCAAAGTTTCCATTTCGTATGTTTAACCACTCTTTAGAAAAAAATTTATAACTGAAAAAACAAAATGGCGGCTGTGTGAGTAACTAAGGACTTCCGGACAATTTGAATATGATATTTAGGTACGTTTCTTACCCAGGATCAATGCCCTAAAATATTGGTAGAGAGTTCCGGGACAACCTGTATAATTGAACTTTACGTCGATGGATTCATTTTATGAGGCCTTTTTTTTCGTGGTACAGTAAATAACACTAATCCTAGTGGTTACCAAGGACAATTCAAGGTTACCGTTGGTCCAAGGATTTATTAACCTATCACTATGGCACAATTATCTGCTGGTCCCTTCAAAAAATAGGTTTAATGTTTCAAGTGCGTTTCCCTAGTGTTTCCCTAGTTGATGAAGAGGTTTGCAGTTATAGAGCTACTCCAATCAAGTGCGGATATTCAGTAATGAGACATTGTCATGAAGGTGGTGGAATATTTCAATTTAATTAATCGTTTTTTTAATCAAAGGCATTCAAGCAGTTCCTGGTCAATCAACAATGAATAAATCAGCACTACCGTCCAATACGTTTGAAAACATCATTAATTAATTCATGAATTAATGTTCTATCAGTGTGTGTATTGATATTGATATTGATTATATTATTTGTCATTATGTACATAGGAGGAAGTTATGTACTCACGCATGCACAAGAGATATATTTTTACAATATTGAAAAAAAGAATAACTGTACAGTATTATCCTGAAGGTGTTTCCTTTTGTTATCCAAAACCACTTGTACACACAACAACTGTACACTTGTACTGTTATTTTCTTAATTAAGGTAAAAAAGCCATCACAAAAAATCTTATTATGAAGGATTACAGTTTCACTTAAAGGGCTTTTTAGCTTTTTAGCTATGGCAAAGGGAAAAAATTAATCCGCGATTCGCAGATGATAAAAATAAATATTTTAACAAAAATATGAATCAGGTAATACTTTACTTCTTTACCTAAAAAAAAAAAAAAAAAAACAAACTCCAGTCACCTCATTTTAAATGTACACATCTATTATATTATTAAAGTGATACAATCAAATTTTATGTAAACAGTTAAGGCCATTTACCAAATAAAAATATATGCATATGTCACATCAAAATGAAGCTTAGAGTGTGTAGATTTGCCGAAAAGTATTGATGTGGACGAATTGCCTAAGGGCTCTGCCCCACAGGCTGATT